TACAACGCCTGCCTTCGAGAAACGCTTTTTACGCTGATCTTCGCTTCAGCAAGACTTGGACTTTCACTGATGTTGTGCATTTATCCTCCGGTGAATTGGCTTCACGTGAACTGTTTGGGTCCTTGAGGCGTGACCTCATCGAGGGATTCTTCGAGCCTAGAGTATCTTTCATATAGCCGCAAGGGTTAAGCTTGGACCACCTGCAGTGTGAAAAGTATCCACCTTTTCTTATGCCACATACCTGCAGATTTTTGGAAGGTATATGAAGATCTGATGTGAGACACCTGCACAAACCCTGAATTTGTCAGCTAATGGCAAATCTCAATGTTGACCCATGGGAGTTGCCTTCTTGAGCATGTACGCTCTATCCGTCTCTATCCCATGCTTTTGGTTGAGAAACCACGCATCCCACACGCAACTCAATATGCCCTTCATCCCACAGGTTTCCTCCAGGGCAGATGCTCAGGAGACCTCAGGGACTGCAGACTTGTGTACGTAATTCTTGTTGTTCGCCAATCAGAAAAGTATTAACAAACTGTGTTTGAACAGCTGTTTCTGGAGCAAGCTACTAGCCACAGTATGTGTAAAGGAATCAGAGATGCCTCATTGCCAATCATACCCTGTCAGCCTCCCTCTTACAGGAAGTCCAGAATGTGATTGATGTTGAGATCACAACCCTAGACTCGCGGCAAACATCCCCATCTCCTTCACCGAAATGGGCCCATGGCATGGCTTCAGGAGCTGGGGAAGTTGAAGCAGGAGCTGGATCAGCTGGGTGAGCGCATCACTCAAGGCCTTGACAGGCGAAGAGGGTCCGTGGAGTGAGACCTGCGATACCTAGGAAGGCAGAGAGTCCTGAAGTTCTTTGAAGTCAGCACTTTGCAGAGTCGTGTTGTTTTTTGTTTCAGGTTCCTATAAATAATGTCTAATCAAATCGACAAATTCAAGAAGAAGAAGAAGAGGGTTTGGGATTTGTGATGAGAGTTGGCTTGGTTGATTGCTTCTGGATGAGCACCTGCGGGTGAATGCCATAGAATTGTTGAGCATCATCTCCGTTACTCGTCAGTCAACAGCCCATGCCCTGCTCCCACCCATGCCTGCTGAGTACTTTGCAGGTGTGCTGAGAAGGAGGAACTTGCAGAGGTCTCTCGAGGCAAAACTTTGCAGAGAGACGCATGGGTGCATGGCATGTGTGTATTTTCCGTGTGGGAACCTCCCAACCAAGCCCGAGAGGTTTGGATCCCCAGCTTTGATTTGCATGGATTGTACTGGAGCAACCATTGCTTTACGATTTGTGTGTGCATTTGCATAGGGGGACCTCCCTGGTCCCTGGGTAGACTGGTCGATGTTCCGAACCCAGGGAGTCGGAACTCCTGGGAGGTCTGTCTATTTTAAGACACACCCCGGGGCCCACGTCAGCACTGGCAACTGACATCGCCATAGCAATGCCATGACAACATGTGACATGACACGAAGTGCTGCCCGATGGTCGTAGATGATCAAAAGTCAGAAGTGTAGCCAGGAGGGTCCGATTGGTTTCGAAGGTCAGATACCTTATATATCCTTATATAGTGCCGTTGTTGAGGCTCCAGCGGTATTAGACCTCCAGACTCAAACCTTAGTTTGTTTTCAGCCTAGTATTACTCCGTTGTCACGGAGTTTTCAGACCAGCTGACACTGCACCTCTTCGCAGGCCTGCAGACCAGTGTTGCCTCCGCACAGGAGTGCTTCTCCGCAGTGTGAATGAAGTGATTGGCGCGGTGGTTTCATCGACCCCAGGGCTCCAACGACCTCTCTGGTTCCAAGGTGCTGGTGACCGAGGTCAATGCCAAATTACATACAAACGCTTTGTGTGGAGGAGGCCAACTCCATTCCGTTTTGGTTGCTTTGTTTGTTACTCATGAAACTTGCAAACAAGGGTACACGGTGCTCTTTCGAACCAAAGTCTTCCACATTGATGACAAAGTGAGGAAGGACATACTGGAGCACTCCGACGATCTCCGATTGATAGCAATATATAGGTAGAAATGCGCATTGTTCAAAAAAAGCGTGTTGGTTTGCCTACCTTTCTGTTTGCAGGAGACGATGCAGTCCGTCAAGGCGGAGCTTTTGCAGGCGGACCAAAGGAGGGTCATGGACAACCCCGGAGGGTTCTCAACCAACACCGAAACCGTCCTGCAGTATTACCAACTCTTCATTCAAGGCCAACCCAAACAGGTGTGCCCCTCTCCATGTGATGCACCCTTACTCTCATGCTCACTGGGATCAGAATTGTCCCATAGCATACCAGTTC